TTCTTCGCCTCGACTTCGTTGTGTTCTAGTATTGTTCTGTGATGTCTGGGCTGCGGGAGATACATTGCTCAATGACGTCATTGGGCTGGAACTGTCAAGTTAGCCAGCCTGGTCACGTAGTCCTGGAGCTGAATAGTCCGTCCGGTACGGACACACACGGGGTGGGGATTGATTGTCAGATTGGCCGGGGCTGGTTGTGGTCGGGATATCACTCCGGGCCTGTCGGAGAGCGCGAAACACTACATTCACGACATCTATGACACGATCACTGGAAGCAACAGAAGTCCTTCAGTACATCACCGCAACACGCCTCCTCGCTAGAGCGACAACAGCCGCAGCCACAAAACGAGTCATTCGAGCGAGCGAGCGGACTGGTGGAGGGCGTGAGCAAGGAATGTAGCTGCGGGGTAGGCACTTACTGGAAACTGATCACGGAGAAAGGACTCACAGGTTGGGCGACTTCCGAAGAAGCCTGACAATTGATGTTAGATTACGGAATGTGAGTTGAGGGTGCGGGACGGATACTCACGACAGAGGCTTCGTCTTGAGCTCTGAGATGTGGGACGAAGAGGGAAGGCGTGCTGTCCGTCGGATCGAGCTTCAGGACCTCAGTGTGCTCCGGGTTGCAGGTTTGCACTTTGGTGACCTCACGTTTGAGCTTCTGCGCGTCTGGGTGCTGGAGTGGGAGCCGTTCGGCGTGCGCATGCTGAGCTGTGAGGAGGTGTGGCTGCATTTCCACTGCATCCCCCTCTGCGTGGTGAAAGGTGTCGCTCTCGACGTGAATCCGCGATGTGCTCAGGTTTACATCGACGAAGGGGGTGTCAGGGCGGCCCAACTCATAAGCTTCCTCCTCCTCCGAATAAGAGCTGAATGTGGTATCCCAGAGGAGCAAACGAGGGAGGCTCTCAGGGCGAACAGTGACCTCGCTGGCCGTAGAATCGACGGAGTTGCGGTTTTGATGGCTGTCGTCGGTGGACATGACAGAGGGGAGGAGTTGAGGTGAGTGGGCAGGGAACGGTATGAAAGCAGTGTTATGTAGTCATTGGGCTGTTGGTGCTGAACGGAGGGGGTGAGACGATTGCCTGACATGAATGCAAACAGTGTCATGGGGATGTGGCTAACTTTCGGGGTTTTCACTTAAATGGTAAAGCGGAGACGAGAAGAAGCAGCAACGGGGAAGTAAGTCAGAACATCATTACGTCAAGACGTCCGATGGAGAGACATAACTGGAGGAGAGAGCATGGCTTACGTTGTGAGCACGGGAACGTCCGGAAGAAGCAACGGAGGGAGGCGGGGGAGCGAGATAAATGCACCATGAGGCTGTCCAGGAACGCGGGGAAGTGGGGCACATTTAATTTTTGACAGGTGAAATACATGTGAAGCATAGTAGTTAGGACGACAGTGGCATTTCTAGGGAGAAAGTTCTGATCCGAGTTGTCTAAAAATATCGATGCCGTAATTGTAGGGATGGGTAAAGGATTTGCTGAGTATGTGTTATGGGTAAGGGATTAAGGAGATTGAAGGGAGGGCATCTTGTAGGGAAATAAGCTGCGACACAACAATGGGGTATAAAGTCAACTCGCAGGGGGTTTATATTCTGGGGAAATGGGTGGGTAGGATGCGAGGGCACGCGAGGATGGCCGTCTGAGACGGACACGCGGGCAGGGGTCATGCGGCGCTTTATGTCATTGCAGACAAATACGTCGCCTCTGCACGGTTGTCCGTCCAGGACGGACACGCACGGGGGGGCCCTCTTGGACCTGTTCTCCGTGTATACGGAGGCAAGGCCTCTTGCACGGTTGTCCGTCCAGGACGGACACGCACGCAGGGGCCTTGCTCCGTCCGGTTTTGCTTGTGGCAAAGGATGTCGCTCACCTCCGGTGTCCGTCCAGGACGGACACGCACGCAGGGGCCCCTGAGCGCTGTCAGCTTTGGCACTGAGGACACTATCCCCTGGAAACTGGAATCAAGCCCCTTGATTCCGGGTTTTCGGTGGAACAAGGTCCGTAGCACCGCAACCAGGCTGTTTCACCTGGAACAAGCTGGTGCCCTAGGTGCCCCACGACCTAGCCCACAACCTCCTTTTGGTTTGGACACGATTGCTTTAGCCGTCATGGAGCTAGAGGCCATATTCCACTTTTTCAGATTTTGAAAATCTGACTATTTGGCAAATACCGATAACTAGATGCTGGAACAAGCTGGAACAAGGGCCCATTCCAGATAGCTCTCAGATGGGGCTACCTAGGGCACTTGAGAGCTAGTGAATAGCTGCTCTGGTTTGGGAGCTATGGGGGGTACAAGATGCCACCTAAGTTGCAGT